AAAAATTCATACAAACGTTGGAACCTGTTTTCCCCCTTTCGAGCTCAAGTTTTTCAAATTCTTATTGCCAACCTACGCTATGAAAGGATACTTGAGTCCACTGCAACGAGTATGTTCGACCACCCTTGCTGAAAATTCAATCAAATCAGATCTTTGCTTGGCTGCAAACGAGCTCGAACGAGTTGAGTACTCTCAGCATTTTTCTTATGATCGAACTTGCATGAGCAATCTTTCTATTTTTACGAACAAGCACCGGACTTGATTGGTTTGCTTTCGAGCACACCAGGCTCGGTCACTTTGCTTATTGCGGTCGGTTCGAACGAGTACCGGCCTTGACTGGTTTGCTTTCAAACAGTTCAGGCTCGGTCACTTCGAGTATTCTGTTCGGTGGGCATGATTGGTTTGATTTCAAACACTTCAGGATCGGTCACTTCGTTTAAAATGACTGAGTCCTGATCGAAGCAAGCCAGACTTTGCAGAATGAGCGTTTGATCGAACGAGTATAGTGCCGTTATTTGTTGAGTATTGTTTGGGTATTGCGCGAGCTGTACTCGGGTAATACTCGAGTATTGCGCGGATTTTACCCGAGCCTGACCGTAGGTACCTGCGTCTGACCGTACAAAAAATGCATGTATGCACATGTATGTATGTATGTGCGTGCATGTTATGGGTGGAATTATGCGGAAACATGTGTAGATACGAATTTTAAATAAAGAGGCACAGAATTAAAGCAAAACATATTAACGCATTTATTTTTCTATTATGATAAATATGTAGCATGATGATAAAAAAGAAACTCAAATATCTTAAAATAAATAAATAAAAATAGCATAACCTTTTGTAATTTAAATAAAAAGGAAGGTATTTCATTTCGCTAATAGTTTTGTTGGATTCTTTAATTTATATGCATATACATATGTACATACTTGTAAACGAAGTTACTATTGAACTAGTAGCCGAAAAAACAATAGAAAATGCAAGTGCACGTGCACCCGCCGATATCATTGGTCATTTCGGTCATGCGGGCATGATTTTAATACGACGTTCGATCATTTCTTGCACGCAGGCAAAAAGTTTCGGTCATCGCCGCTCATTCTGAGTCTTTGCAGTTGTGAGTCGAACTGACTGGTTGGCGAGCGTTCGTTCCCAACCAATCATTGCTTGCATTTCTGCAAGAAGTTTCGGTCACAACCGCTCACTTCTGAGTCTTTGCAGTTTTTATTCGAACTGAGTCTTCGTTGAGGGCTCGTTCGCAACCAGTCATTGCTCAAATGAAATAATCACACCGAGTATGGGTAAATACTCGAGTATGACCGAAAATGTAGTACTCGTTGCAGTTCTCTGTTGCAAGTCAATATTTCATTCACATCAAAACATATGTACGAGTATGTGTACTTAACTTACATATGCATAAATTGACAAAATCTTTGTTACATTTTACAGCTTTTAATGTAAGAAATTACTTGCCCTGATACGTACATACATACATACATACATATATGTATGTACATAAATACGTATGTTTTTATTCCACTATATGTATGTCTTAACTTTCGGTACATACCAATGCATTTCCTAAAGAAACTTTTCTGGAAATGAGAACACTGTCGGAAGATAAATTACATATGTATATGACTATAACTTCCATTCAGATTGACCTATCGTGATGAAACTATATATACGAACTCATAATCACTGGAGGTATTTTTTGAGTCAAAAATGCCAAGAATTACAGGAGTAATGGAAAATCACTAATTGCTAGAGAGATGGGGAGGGAGGGAAATTATGATTATACGAAGGGCGATACGGAAAATCCCCATTTTCGGGGAAGAGGGTAAAAACCAAAAAAATAATACAAACTTGGAAAGCATACACAGATAAGACATCTTCCTGCAAAATTTGGTGTCTCTATCTCTGGCAGTCTCTGAGATCCAGGTGTACATACGGACGGACAGGCGGACAGACAGATAGAAAGACATAGATCGACTCGTCTTGTCATGCTGATCAAGAATATATATACTTTATGGGGTCCGCCACGCCTCCTTCTTTCTTAATTTTCTAATTTCTATAATTATTCCAAGCATATGTACAGAGTATTTCAAAGTCGGGACACCGGAAATTTAGCTTTTTTACTTGTTGTATTGATAGTTGCGTGCGAGAGTAGTCGCACCAAGCACCATGCCATACAAGAACGGGTCTATGTCAAGGATTCTGTGCTTACAAACATTTTTGAAAAATGAAGTCGTCTGCCCAGGTGCCGATATTAAATGGATGTCTATTGTTCTGTTTAATTTGTTTAACTTTAAATTATATGTATATGTAATTATAGCGATGCGTTTCGTCACGCTCATCGTACACATACATACATATGTGCTATGTACTAACATATAACATGAAATCTGTCACGCCTCCGTATTGCATTTGTATGTACATAAGTATGTACAACACAATTAGCTTAAAAGCTAAAAGCTAGCTAAAGGTACTTTTGATTGATGTTTAATATTCCATTTATCTTAAAGTAGATACAAATTTGAACAGAAGACGAAACGTCTACTTTAAAGGATTTGAACTATTCAAAACTGCATATTATGTTTGATAATATCAATTGTTTGACAGCTTACTTGTCCACGGCTTGTACCAGAAAATGTCTGTTATATTTGTACATCTGGCAGCACTATGGTATTGCCACTTATGTGAAACTATCGGTGAATCAAAGAACTTAGTGCTGTAAAATGTCAGCATACGTACTACAATCGTATTTATATTGCGCAAGTTATTATTATAACTCAATAATTTTTAAGCTTTAATAAACTGAAGCATTTTCTGTTCAATTACAGCCCATTCATTGATTTCATTTACATCAGCTTCCATCTATTTGATTTCTCTTATTTTTTTGGCCGTCGCTCAACGAATAGCACTGCGACTGCCCAGCACTGTTTTTCAATTTTCGAGACAATCAGGGTGAGAACATTTCGTATAAAGTGCGCGCAAGAGCAAGCAGGAAGGACTCCCTCGGCCTGCGTCATGTTGTTATCCTGTAACTTATAAACGTGACTCTACTGCTGCCTGGCGCATATTAACATCGTATGCACAATCTAGAGGGTGTGACCAAGTTGAGCGACAAAAAATTTTCATACGTTGCTCAGTCTTCGGAATGTGTCAATGGTGAACCAATCCGACGGTGCAAGAGCTTCTGAGCAAACAGTTAAAACCCAATTTAATTTTTGAAAAAAAATTAACTGAAGAAGAGCGCTACCAACACAAAGTGCCGAAATAAGTGTGCTTAAAATGCATATGCTCATAAAATAAATTGTAAACGAATTTATCAATTTTTTTTTGGGCGTCAATAATTTGTGTCAGTGCTGGGCGAAAAGTAAGATGCGGCGGCGAACGCGTACGAAGCTTTGTTTGTTGTGAAAAATTGTGTACCCATTTGTAAAAGGGAGTATTTTTTTGTTGACTACATAAACTATTAGGGATCACCGCTGCAAAGTCTACATTTAATAAACAACTGAGTGAATTATTTTTAAAATTATATACATATGCATGCATACATACATATATAAAAGTGTTAAGGAGTGATATAAGTATATATATACACACGTACAATGTATATTATTCGAGCGTAGTTAACGGTCAAAAAATGGTTTTGGCATGCACGCAAAAAAGTAAGCAGCCTACTCCCACTTTAATAAGTGCGTACGCGTGCCGAGAAAACGCAAAAAAATAGCACATTGTGTGCAACAGCAGTAAGTACTGCCTCCTGTGTATGTGAGTGTGTCTCAGCGATCCTGAATAATGTAAATTAACTATTTAATCAACAGCTGCAAATATGTAGCTAAAATTAAGTCTTTCCGTTGCATTTTATATGTGGACTTGTGTGTGTGTGTGTGTGTGTGTGTGAATGGGTGGTATCGGGAGAAGCAATTACGAGTGCGGCGCACTCGGAACTCGGCATGCAACACGCTCGGTGTCGTCCAACGAAGACTAGAAGGAACAAGGAATCAGAGCGAACTTTTAATCAATAGATACACACATACATACATACATAGGTATATAGAGATACAACGCAACACTACCCACATAAACACAAGCTGGATCTCTCTAATTGTGAAGAATATGGTTACGCTTTTATAGCGACCAGGAACACAAAGAAAAAAACGCAAACAATAACGGGAGCAGCACTCTCAACAGCAGCAACAACAGTAATAATAAAAAGTATAACATTGTGAGAGCGCACGTGGCAAGAGAGCATGAGAGTACAAATTGAAAGGATGCCTTGCCTTTCCGCAACCGCTCTTTTGTTGCTATTGATGCTGCAGCTGGTGCTGCTGTTTTAATTTGTTGTTGGTACTGCCTGCGCGCGTGCTGCATACTTACAGGGCTAAGAAGAAGATATTAAACAATATTGGTAATGCGCTGATGGAAACGTTCAATTAAAATACTCGCAGTCGCTACATTGTGACCGTTAATGTACATATGTATGTATAAATGCATATAGGTTGGCGGGGGTGTTGGATGGGCGTTTTTTAGTAAATTGAATTTTCGTGTGTTGGGCAAAAACCAATTTTACTTGAATATATGTATGTATGTATGAATAATACATATGTAACGGCTTATCTATCGTATGCATATGCATAAATGTATACCGAATATGGATATCTATAGCTCCAAAAGTTAAGGAATATTCGCCGATCTGCTGACGGAATGTAGGACGCGGGCTGTGCACACACATACATACATATGTGCGTGTTTAAGGGCGTGCGCGCCTGTCAAGAATCCATGTACATAATTATACACATGTATGCATGTACATGCATGTGAATGTATGTACGTACACATTCAAAATCATTAGCAACCGCCCACACCTTCTTACCGAATGTCCCATGACGCTTTTGTTTTCTGAACAAAACTAAATCGCTTTACTCTGCATGCCTGCGTCTTTTAATTCATCTAGCAGCCAAACTTATTCGATCTATTTACTATATGCATAGGTTATGCCTTTTTTCATACGATTGACGACTGCAGTGCGCGACAAGTCAATGTAAAGAGGTTAAAGCTGTCGAGAGCGCGGACTCACAATAAGCACAAACCATCATTTAACGCTATACCCACTAGCATCTACTTAAACACATATACGTACGTCGGTTGATTGTCTGTAGAAGAGCAGCAGCAGCAACAACAACAACAGCGTCGAGAGCAATGGGCGACTACCACGAGTATACGGACCAGTACAAGGTGCCGGTAATAGCAAAGCTGCTGCATGCGTTACCCCACTACAACATTACGTTCCACAAAATTAACAGCACGTTTCGGCCTAATGATGAGATCTATTTGGAGGTGAGAAATAATTCGACTATAAAACAAATATGACTTATAATTTCACCTATTCCTGCAAATAATATATGCATGTTCATAGATACATACTGCATGGATAGGAATTGGTTTACGGCAATAATTGTCTATGTACAATTCTTGTGTGTAGTGTTCGCCACTTTTGGAAGTTGACATGAATGCTAGAGCCGAGCCTACATTACTCTTAAAAAACCCAAACCCTCTTTAATTATATATACATATATACGAGTATATACTCGTATGTCTATATAATTAAAGAGAGTTTGGGGTCGAATATGTACTCGTATATATATGTATAATATAGTTGTAACTAGTTCTGTATGTACCTCTAAAATGAAGGTAAAGGTTATACAAATTGAAGATGGTAAAAATTTATTTTTATAAAAGTTTATGATTAGCATTCCAGACCATTCGTGAAGTACGACGATGTCTGCATGTTTCAATAATTACTCCTTTACAGATAGCGCTTTTTTACACTGGAACTTTTTTTTAACGGAAGCAGATTATTTCTACACTGACCACATCAGATCACTGCACAATAAAGCTGTCATTTAAGCGGCATGATTTTCAGAGAGATTTTATTTGAGCAACTTGGAACTACAAGTATTTGCATGTTAAGAAATGTTCTCACTGATGGTCCGCAAGTAGTGACCATGGTTGACCAAATGTTAATTAAGTAAATATTAATAATTTTATAGCACGTTTTCAAGAAGTATTTACTACTGCATGCGCTTTATCACAAAGTTGTTAATGAATGTAGGGCATAAGTATAAAGGGTATTTAGGTTCAACGCTATCGTACATAACTTCTGTATGACGCTACTTAAAATATTTTAAGACATTCAATGAAAACAGAAAACAAAACTAATGTATTTTTCGTGCGCATAAATTTACCTTGGACTCCGGTTTTTGTTAACATTGTATTCTAACCTGTTTTATAAAATTCGTTTCACTATATTACCTACCTATATTAATGCAAACAACTTTATATCATAAAATGGTTGAAGAGGATATAGCTTTGGACGCAAAAGGCCTAATTTGTTCGTAATGGGGGACGTCCCCATCTTTTACATGAGACTCCCCTGATTATTTTATTTAATTTTTTAAATTTTACTTTACAGACTCTTTTAATTTTCTATCTCGAAGTATTAATAACTTAATTTCGCGAGTACCCGGCTCTTATATATCCTGTCGGATAAGCGTTCTTGCTTTAATCGTTGCACTGTTCTATAAGTACAACTGTTATGGCGAAAGTGTTTGTTACAACGTTAGTTTCCGTATGGGTGAGACATCGAATATTCTTGTTCCCTCTAATTAAACTCAGTTACTTTCTCTTCCTTTTACAGAGTTTGGGCATTCTTGGATCCGTGCCTGCCGCCCTGCTTATTGTGTCGCTGCTAGGGCTGCTATTTTATCTAATGACACGTTGTTGCGATCGCAAACCACGTCCTGCCCACTCGATAACTAGCCTGAAAGTGGCGCTATCAATTGTAACGGTGATGTGCTGTGCTGCCATCGGGCTGGGTCTTTATGGAAACGATGATTTGCACAATGGATTGCTGGAGGTGCTCACTGCTGGACGCAAAGTTGATAATTTGGTCACTACCATACGTAATCAAACGCACATATTGGAGAACACGCTGACGAATCGTATACGACCACAATTGGTGGAATTGGCTGATATTTTTGACCAGCCAGTATCGAATCAGACAGCGCTTTCGAAGCTTTTTGTCTCCCTAAACATTGTTCAGGGCAATGTGACTTTGGCCACGAATGCGGCTAGTGATATACGACGACCTCTTATGGGTATATCCATGACACACTTCCTTACGGTGAGTAAAACTGATATTTGGAAAATCGCACATATTTCTGTATTTGGTGCACCAAACAATTGTTGCTCCTAATATATTCCCCGACTATTTTTTTATACCCTGTACATGAAATGTACAATGCCATATTGGGTTTGTGCAAAATGAAAAATGTAATATGCAAATATATAATACACTTGATCAGCATTGCAAGACAATATACTGAGCCATGTCTGTTCCACCGTCCGTCCGTTGTTTTTTTTTTTTTTAGAAATGTGGCTGTTTTATCCGGTTAGTGCTTATGTGTTTGTAAGTCAAGTTTCATTGTGAGTCATGCATTTTTGTTTATTGCTTTTTATAGCCTTTACCCAAAGGGTGAAAGGCTATACTAGTTTTGTGCGCATGTATGTAACACACAGAAGGAGGTGTGGCAGACCCCACAAAGTATATATATTCTTGATCAGGATGAGAAGACGAGTCGATATAGCCATGTCCGTCTGTCCGTCTGCTGTATGAGCGCAAGGATCTCAGTAAGTACAAGAGCTAGGATAACCAAAATTGGTATCAAGGTTCCTATAAGCCCTAGGCAGAACGAGTTTGTTTATTTTTTCTGATACACCCCCCCCCCCACTCCCCCGCAATTCGTATTTTTTCTTATAACTTCCGTAATTCTCGGAATTTTAAAATCAATTTTGGTAGGTACATCCAGTTAGTACTAATGTGTCCGTGTGCCAATATCATCATCATGATAGGTCAATTCTGAAGAAAGTTATAGGCATAAATAAAATCGCTGCCCATGCGCTGCCTGCAGCTCTGCCCGCAGCTGTTGTTGTTGTTGCTGCGTTGGTTCAACTTTGTGCTGCATACTATACATACACGCATATAAACACGCGGAGACACGATTCTTATGTAAATGTATGCTGTTGAAACTGTACATGAACTTTTGTTTATATGTATTGAATAATTTAATTAATATAATTTTTTAATTAAAAAATTATATTTTATTTTTGTTTTTTTGGGAGGTACAGGGTATTTAAGAGTTGAGTTCGCTCGACTTTAGCATTCCTTTCTTGTTTATTTCTATCGTACTCAAATTTTTCTCATCACAAGCAGTTTCCAGAATTTCTTTTACCCCTCAGTTATTTTTAGTTCTTGTAAAAATAAATGCATATGTATATACGTATGTATGTATGTTTGAAGCTGCACTTTATACTTTTCGAGTTCCTGCGTCTATACAGACGGTTATGGTGATCACGCACGCTTTGTGGGAGTGTCACGCCACCTATCTGTTTCATACATTACATTCTAGTATAAGTAAGTTCATTTAATTTGCACATTCCGCTGCAGCATTTGGATAACGATGGAATTCTTCATGCCATTTTTCATGACGTAAATCCAAGCGAATTATTTTTGGTTCGCTTTAACCATTAATTGGAACTACTTGTAGAACCAGAAGTAACATACTGCAGGGCACGCGAAATGTGTGTCATAAAAAGGTAGCTGATCGATTTTGTAGTCGCTATCTTACTGGTATACTTATACATAAATAAAAATTATGTATTAGGTATAAATAATAAAATATAGTAATAAGACTTAATTCAAGCGTATCTTTTTACTCTTTCTTAGCGTGGCGATCAATGGGAGCTAATACGTTGGCCAGGAACAGTGGCTACATTGGCGTTGCTTCTCGTGCTCTGCGCGGTACTGCTTGTGGGCGTAGCCAGGCACTCTCGTTGCGCCCTTATATTGTTCAGCGTCTGCGGCTTGTTGGCCGTTACTGGATCCTGGCTAATGTCCGGGTTATATTTATCTTCATCCGTGGCTGTGGGTGACTTATGCATTAGTCCAGCTGAATTTCTGGTCTCAACAGCGCCACGCGACTTGCCCACCAATGTGTTATTGCATTATACCCAATGCGAGCCGGGGCATACCAATCCCTTCACGCAAAGATTGCGTGAGTCACAGAATTCATTGAATAATGCTCGCAGTGCAATGGCCACCGTCATGAAGATCTCCCTTGTACTGTTCAAGTCATCGGGACTGCAACCTAAACTGGGTGCCGTCAATGCGGATTTAAATAGCAGTGAAAGGCTGCTTACGCAGCTTACGGCCTTAGTGGACTGCAAAGCGGTACATCATAATTTTTTGGCTGCTGCACGTGGCTTATGCGAGGGTGGACTACTTGGCCTGGTACTGATGCTTATTGCCAGCTTTATTGCGGCAATACTGCTTACTATAATGGTGTGGGTGGACTCTCACACTTGGATCTATATTCGAAAGCGTAATGATTATGCGCAGGTGGACGAGCCATCGTACATTTCACATCCAGCTCCGCAGAATCATCAGCAAATGATGAATGCGGCGCGTACGCTGCCCCGCAATCACAATGGGTAAGTGTCTGATCGTAAGCCAGTGAACGCTGCATATTTGTGGGGTCTTTCGGGGGGTTGCTGTATTTAGGTGCTGTTTGATCGATTCTTTGCAGGCACTTCAGTCCACCGGTTATCAGTGGCTCGCACACACTCCAACATCCATCGAAGAGGCAGCAGCACGAGATGATGGCCCATGCGCACATCCAGCAAAATATGCGGGCAATAGGCACACATACACTAGGTAGATTGCCATCGCATAACCACAGCCCCACCCATCTGACTGGTAAGTCTCGACACATACACTGTGCGAACTCGCATCTCAACTGTATAAATACCACCACTAACAAATAGCACCATTAGCCACTAACACCCACATATGCCATCGTCGTAGTTGAAAGTCCCTTGTCTAGAGATGAGCGGTAGCGTACGGAAAATTGACTCTATTAGGCACTAGGTATTATCAAAACTTTGTATGATTTCCTAATTGTGCTTTTGAGCAACTAAATTATTGAATAACATTTGTGCTGCATATAATTGCATACAGAATAAGCAAATAATCGAACGTAAAAAAGATTGGTGTCAATGAAGATTGCATTGTCATTAATACTAGAGATTGTTGATGGCATTGTTTTTGTAGCACATTTTGCACAATCATATACATACGTACTAGTGTTCTAACTAAACAACACGTTTTTGCCATTGTCTATGAAAGAAGCATGAATGTTAAAATTAAAATCAAGTAAAGCATCAATGTCCTCGGTCTTCGTTTATACTTGTAGTAATTTCGGATAAATGTCAAACAGAGAACTATAATCGTTTCCAGATTCTCGTAAATCTCGTAAATAAGAAAAAAGACAATTTTGTGTTTTTTTCTGGTGCACCCCTACCCCGAAGCTTTTCGTTTTTTTCCACTCGCGAAATTCTCAATATTTTTTTCTTGTCTCCTGTTAGTGCTTCTGTCTCCTCATGTGAAGTTTCATTGCGTTAGGCCAAGTGTCGATACTGTCGATTATGTATTAATATCGACAGTCTAGAACTTGGGACAGTTTTTCATTCCAAATTGAAGTTCAACAAGACTAAGGATGTACTTTCACCAAACGAACTTAATTACATTTTTGCAACAAAAATTCTCCGTCCTGTGCTTGAATACTGCCCATGTGTTTGTTTCAAACTGCTGCTTACAAGTTTAAAACTGACTGTGTAATAGGTATATAATACCACATATTATATTTTGCATTTGTCGCTGAATAGCCTGCGAGCCCTGGTTATTTGTTCGCCAGAATCCCAATACAATGACTTTAAGGAACACGATTCCATAATTTAGGCAGGAGTGTCAAAATTATGAAACCTATTAAGCTGGCTATGACTCAAAGGAAAAATCTATCGCTCATCTCTACTGCGTCATTTCTCGGCACATCGCTCTCTATCTCTTTCTCTCTCTCTTTTCATCTACCTCGTCGGAGCCTAGTAAACCACCTCTCACTGTAGCTCTATTTGATAGCGTCCCCGCCCTCTGCCTAGGCCAAACCTCATTCCACATATAAGCCATGTCGCCTTCGCCTCGCCTCGTCGCTTTCTATGCTCCATTGCATTAAAACTTAGTTTAACCATCGCTAATTGTATTTAAATTTTAGGTCCAAATAACGGTAAATATGCAACCCTAAGCAAACAATGCAAAACATTGGAAGCCAATGATTTTTACTGAAAATCATCGCCAGCATGCACCGACCCACAACGTGGAGCACCACCAACCACACAACATCAGCAGCAGCAGCAGCAGACACAGCAGCAACAACAACAACAGCCGCCGCCACAGCAACAACCGCAGCTTCAGCAGCAACAGCAACTGGGCCCACAGCCTATATACTGCCATCATCCACATCAGCATCCGCACGCTCATCCCCATTCCCATTCTGCCGCCGTGGCCGCAGCCGTGCAGCATCAGCATGCCATCTATCATCAGCAACACCAGCAGCAGCAACAGCAGCAGCAGCAATATGGCACCTACACTACAGCGGCAGCGCATCATGCCCAGCACCACATGGCAGGAGCGCCCCCGCAGCAGAGTCAAATTTATCAGCAAATTCCGGCACATTTGGCACAAGTGGCGCCAAACGGTAACCCGCACTCGATCTATCAACCACTCGTGGCTGTCAGCCAGGGCTCCATTTATGTGTCCAATTTGGCCACAATGCGTCGCCAGAATAGCCAAGGTGGTCCACAAATCCCGGCACACAATCAGCAACAATCGCAACAGACACACCAGCAGCAACAACCACCGCCGCCCTCTCAGCAGCAGCAGTTGGTGGCATCTGCAGCTCAACAACAGCATCAACAGCACCAGTTGTATCAGCATCAGCTGCAGCATGCTGATTCAACTGGCCTTGATATTCATGTCCCCAGCACAACTAGCAGCAGCGGTATGATAGATACGGCCATCTATGATCGCGACAAGCAGATTTACAAATGCTCGACGTTGCGACAGGGCGGTAAATTTGATTCCAAGTACAAGCCCTCGATTCTGAATTGCCCGCTGCCGGAAATTCCAAAGGATGCGGAGCAGCCCAAAGTCGAGTCGATATATCAGCAACAGCAGCAAGCGCAACATCAGCAGCACGCGCCGCAAAACTATTCCAAGTAAGTTGGATGCAATAGATGCTTCATTTTGCGCAGCACAGCGGTTTAATTGGCATCTTCTAATAAGTAAATCGTATTTCATTTTTAGAAAGCTTCAATTTTTCAAATCATTTTGCAAAACTCGTAAAGACGTGGGAAGAATCGGAAATTGATTTTTTAAATATTACAGGAAAAGTCAACAAACAGTAATTTAATAAGAAAAAGGGAATACTTGAAAAATACCTATTTACTTGTAGTTTGAAAAGGGGGTTTGACTAAAAACTGAAAAATACACCTTCGATGCCACATAAGAGAAGTCGGAGTGTCGAAAGGCAACCAAATAATTTCAAAAAGAGTCCTAGCATTGTTTTTTAGGTTATTTACCATGTTCGGAATTTTTAGTTTATATAGTACATATAGTACATTTAGTTTTTCATCAAAACAGCAGGTTGTTTGTTATGTTAGATAACATATACATAAACTTAATACCATACTAAATAATCAAAAAAAAAAAATGAACACTACAGCAGCACCGACCCTTCGCCCCCTGTCAAAAAATGAGCTAACTTATAGTTTTGTCATTGTCCTAGGTAGAATATTTGCTGTAGTCGGTTTGTATACCCTGTACCCGTAGGGTAAAAAGGGTATATTAGGTTTGTGCAAAGTAGGTAATATGCAGAAGGAAGCATCTCCGACCCCATAAAGTATATATACAAGTATTCTAAATCAGCATGATGAGAGAAATCGATGTAGGCTTGTCCGTCCGTCCGTCCGCCTGTCCGTCAGTCCGTCTGTCCGTCCGTCTGGATGAACGCAATGATTTCAGAAACTATAAAGGATAGAATAACCAAAGTTGGTACCCAGATTCTCCTAGGTCAGAGAAAGGACGACTTTATTTTATTTTTATACCCTGTACCCAAAAGGGTACAAGGGTATATTAGTTTTGTGCGAGTGCACATGGAACACACAGAAGGAGGCTTGGTAGACCCCACAAAGTATATATATTCTTGATCAGCATGACAAGCCGAGTCGATATAGCCATGTCCGTCTGTCCGTCTGTCTGTCCGTCTGTCCGTCTGTCTGTCTGTATGAACGCAAGGATCTCTGAAAGTATAAGAGCTAGAATAACCAAACTTGGTATACAGATTCTCCTGAGACCGAGAAAGGACGAGTTTGTTCATTTTTTCTGATCCACCCCCCCACTCCCCCCCTATTAACGATTTTCTATAACTTCCGTAATTCTTAGAATTTTGAACTAAAATTTGGTAGTCACATTAGGTTAGTTATTATATAACCGTATACCAAGTCTCATTATGATAGAATGATCGGAAAGAAAGTTATAGCCATATAACCAGGCCCAATGCACACATACATACATATGTACAAGTACACAAACACGCATAAGGCACGATTCTGATGTAAATGTAAATGTATGTATGCATGCATGGAATATTTTATATTTAATTTAGTTAATTAATTAAATTAATTTAGTTAATTAATTAAATTTAATTAATTAATTAATTTAATTACTTTTTTGTGGGGTGGTACAGGGTATTTAAGAGTTGAGCCTGCTCGACTTTAGCATTCCTTTCTTGTTTTATTTTATTTTATTTTTTTAATATTTTGCTTTTCTCAGGCAACTTAATATCCCGTTTAAATTAAATGTATCTATCTTTTAACTAAATACATCGTTGAGATTTTAGATATTAGATTTTAGAAAAAGTATAATAAAACATGTTTTGGTTTTATGTTACGCCGATACCCTTAACCATTTATTAATAAAGTAGAAATTGCTAAAGCATAATTTTAGAGAATTATATGTTCGACCAAAAGGTCGATGTTCGGATAGGAAAGATATTCCATTCCATTTTCCCCAAAAGTCTAAATAAATTTGAATATAACCTTTAACCTCTTCGCGGAGGCTGCGGAGCCTGCTCCTAGAAACCAATGTCTGGCTCTAAATAGGGCTGGGCAGTCGCAGAAAAGATGGATCACTGTTTCCTCCTCTTCTTCATCACGGCAGCTCCGACAGAAGTTGTTGTGATAAAGCCGTAGTCTGACGGCAATTTTATCAGCTTATTTGCGGCAAGCGCAAATTGGTTGTGAACTAATAGTTTACAGCTGCCCATCGGTATACTACTGGTGCTCTTCTTGTCCGATAGGAGAGGGACAGTAGTATCGTCTCTAGCCAGCTCGTCGGCTGTACAATTACCCTCCATGTCCATTTGACCCGGGACATATATGAGGTACATGTTAAAATTTCTCAATAATAAAAGTTCTTCATACATTTTTATAGCCTGTACCCAAAGGGTGAAAGGCTATACTAGTTTTGTGCGAATGTATGTAACAGGCAGAAGTAGGCGTGGCAGACCCCACAAAATATATATATTATTGATCAGGGTGACAAGCCGAGTTGATATAGCCATGTCCGTCTGTCCGTCCGAGCGTACGGATCTCAGGAAGTACAAGAGCTAGAATAACCAAACTTGGTATCCAGGTTCCCTGAGCCCTAGGCAGGCCAAATTTGTTTTTTTTATTCTGATTCACCCCCCACTCCCCCCTGTTCATGATTTTCTATAACTCCCGTAATTCTTGGAATTTTTAACTACAATTTGGTAGTCACATCCAGTTAGTTATTATATATCCGTATACCAAGTTTCATTATGATAGATTGATTATAAAGAAAGTTATAGCCATATAACCAGGCTCAAGCTGTATTTGTTGCTGCTTTGACATAATTATGTAATGCACACATACATATGTATGTACAAGTACACAAACACGCATAGACACGATTCTGATGTAAATGTATGTATGGAATATTTTATATTTAATTTAATTAATTAATTGAATTAATTAAATTTTTGTAATACATTTTTTTGTGGGGTGGTACAGGGTATTTAAGAGTTGAACCTGCTCGACTTTAGCATTCCTTTCTTCTTTTTATATTACTCAGCTGTCAACAAAGGTAAATACTTGTATTGATTCCTGTGTGCGAAGTCAGTTGAGTTAAAACTAGGCATCAAATATAATAAGTGCAATACAGATAGCAACCTTAAGGAATGATTTGCTGGTTTAGTTTTATTTCTCAAACAAATTTTTCTTCAGTGTATTTAACTATTTTTATTTGGCAATTTAAAAAAATGGTCGTTCCGTCAACTGATTTATATATGTAATGTATTACAAGATAAAAGTCAGTTGATGGAATACCACTATCTCTTTCGCCAAACCATTGAGCGCTACCTGCCAATTTTCCCCATTTCTTTCCACCCTACCGCCACTTTATCGTTTGTACAGAACGCTGCAGCGACCGCCCATGAAGCTGCCGCCTCAAATGAAGGCCATACCGCCGCCTCGCATCGGCACGCCGACGACTCCGCCTCCCCCTGTTCAGGTAGCAGTAAGCACTGGCTCCGTGACGGAGAATGCGCTTCACAATGGAGGCGACAACGGTGGCAGTGCGGGCGAGGATTCTACGTTGCCCCCGCCACCACTGGAGGTGACACAGACACAGGCACATCAAAGCACAGACGTAACACCCCCCAAGGTGCGGTCAGCAGTAGCCGGCGCTAATGGGAAAGCAACTCTAAACAATGGCGTAGCCATGCACAATGGCATGGATGATGATGATGACTTGCCACCACCGCCGCCGGCGATATCGGATGAGTCAAACTATGCGGTTACTGAACTGTAAACGGGGAGGATCAGATATTCCACAAGGTGACGTTGATACTCTTATGGCTGCTGTGCGTACTGATGCATGCACATCAACAGTTGTAAAAACATTGAATTGAACACATTCTTAAATTATCATGTTACTTGTAGTATACATATGTAGGTATTTTAATTTTTATAGTTTTTGGGAGGCTTACAACGATTAACAGCATTTAATGGTATGATGCATTTACTTTTTTGGTGTTCCTTTTGTACTTATAACCAATATACTCGATTGATTGATTTGACTATACACGTACTTACATATACATACATGTGTGTAGTGCGAGTGCGATTCTTTTTGACTACATTTTAGACGTATCCTAATTATTAATACTAAAGATAATAATTATTAAAAAAGAACGCAAACAAGAATCGAATGTAGAACAAGCGACTATCGGACTTTTGTAAATACATAAATATACATACATATATACATACATAGTACTTACATTTGACTATATGTACAAGTACTTATGTATACACATTCGTATGTAGTGCTAAAAAAAACTACCAGATACAAACAACAATAAATGAATAAACTTAAGCATAAATATGTAATAATAATATACATAAATCTACACATTGTATTAATATATATCCTTTTTGATAATAGGCATTTTTACAGTTTGAGTGCAATTTTACTGAAGAATTGAACATTTTAGGTACATCTGCTGAGAGATAACAATTGAAAACAAACATTTACACGTAACGAAACATTTTAAAGGCAAAATTACTGACATACGTGTATAGTATTGGAAAATTGCACCCTGTAAATGGTAACAGAAATTTAAATTTACACAATTGACAAAAGCTATTGTAACACATTTATACAGAGAGCATTTAATTGCGTCCGAAATTTCATCGGACGAAAGGGGAATTGCAATAGCTGTGTAGCCATATTCTCCAAAATATGTACTGCAAATAAGAGATTGGAAAGTAGTTAGCTATCGAGAAATCTGATATATACGGACTTTACTGTCTTGGGCTATGTAGATGGAAATTGTTAGCAGCTTTTGGCGGGCAATGTCTCATAATAACATGCAGCGTTTTGGTGAAGAAAGAAACTGTAAAAGAACTCTTCCACTGCCCAGCTGTAGATATGTAAAGACAATTGCACCTGGGAAGGTCCCACATTTCAGAGGCTTCCAACCTCACAACTGTTTCGCTTCCAAAACATTTTTATTTTCCGTACCAGTTTAGTTATAAAGTCGACAGATATCTATGCTACATCATAAATGACCCGTAGTGTTGTGCGACCATCCACTTCGGATCAGTTGATTTGTAATATAGGGAGGCAAGCCAATTAATACCCCAAACTCGCAAGTAACACTTAATAGTAGAGCATAAGGACTAAGATCTAGGCTGTAGAGAAAATTAGTAGACAATTCAATTTTGATCTCGGCATTTTAATTTAATGTCAATTTTTTCGGAATCTTGGCGTGCAAAAAGCAAAAATTAACATGAAGATAAAACCAATTTTTTATGAAACAAGGAGTCAGCCGTATCAAGTGACGTGGCGAAGCATCTCTTTGACTTTGTGATTTTTTTGAAGTATTGTTAATACTATGCAAAATTTCAGTTTAGCGTATGCGATCGACAGATTTGTACCCAAGCAATATCTCCTGCATGGCAATGAAGATGAAAACCGTAGAGAAAATAGCATGGAATTTCTTTATAGTTGATCCGTCACATTATAGGCACTTTAAATTTGATGGTTTCTTAAGTTACGTTTTATTCCATTTCAAGTGGAGTAAAGTGAGATACAAACACAATAATTAATCTGGATTTTGTGATAACGTCAATTGTCCGATTTATCGATTTGTAGCTTTTCAATTCATATCCATTAAAGGTTTTCAAAATTTATTTAATATCCCTAAAGGGGTTACTGCTGTAGAATTGTTTCCGAACCTCTTCAAAGTACTTTTTGAAAGGAAATGGGCGTCGCTTTTGCAAAATGTGCGGGAAGATTAATGACAATTTTGCATAGTGTAAACAAACGTTAAAAAAAATGAATTAAACGCCTATGATTTTATCAAGAACAAATCTATTTTGTGAAAAATAAATAAAAGCTGCGCATACTCCCCGTAACACGTGATACGCGACAGTGAATATTTGACCTTTCGACGAAACTTACCATAGGCTTAACAAAATGCATTTATTAATAAATAACGAGCACTTACCGATACATTATGTATGTATAACTGTATATTATAGTACCTAAGACTATGTCATAGCATAAAAGGAAAAGAGATACAAGTGACGGAAGAAATAAAAGAATTTTCGCGTGTAAACAAAATAGCAATATATAAGAAAAGTACTGCCCTTAATTCGGCTGAGCCGAAGCAAACCTAAAAATATTAATACATACGAGTACATACTCCTTTACATGGATATATATGTTTAGTGTATCCTTGCGGGCAATCGGCGTTGAGAGTGCCGGGACATACAACATACATATAGTATATAAAATGTGAATCAAAATAAACATAATACCGCTATAAATATACATACCTACATACATACATACATATGTAACTAAGCTTGGCACTACATGTGACTTTTAACAGCGCGGGCAAACTCAAATGCACATTGGAATAATCAATTGTAAAAATTTCAAACTAGGAGAATATATACGCATGTACAAAGGAAAATTCTCATATACTTATAAAGTCTCATGCCATAATCTAGGGTTTGGCATTCAGCGAGGCAGAGATAAAGGGAAAGCAGCCGTCGGTATTGCTCCCGTATGCAATATTTATTAACTTATACTTGTACTTCTTGTATGCATGACACATTTGGAAGCATTGGCTGCCGAAAGAAAACACATACACATGTTTATATACAAATAGGTACATATGGATCTAAAGTTTACATTCTTAAATACAGATATGTGTCGCTCGAAACTATACACATTCGAAAACAAACATAGATATTAACATTATATATAGCTCGTAAATATATTTCTGTGTTAAATGTTGTCATCGTACGCGTTGTAGTTATAATAAAATCCGAAAATGAAATACTATAAATCAGAAAATAGGAACAAACTAAATTTAAGTGAATTGGAGGAGAGATACTTCAAGCTACATCTAAGTAAATTGGGGCTAGAGATCCTTCAAGTGGGCCGGCAGCCATTCGCGGGCATATATATATGTGTATATATACATATATACACACATATACATACATATATATATGTATATATATATATATATGAATATATGTATGTATATACATATATATAGAGAGAGACGCGCTTTGTGGTAGCAAAATAGTAATAATAAAAAAGTACATAAATTTAATAATAAACACGACACCTAATCAAAGCTTGAATTTCTTGTAAGAACAAAAATTAAAATCATTGCATCAATGCTGCATGATTAAAATTAAAAAAGCATAAAATCGCATCAATTAAATTAATTAAGCATTCCATTTGATTTATATCTAAACCATTTTCATCTACAACAAGGAAACAATTTCATTCCAGCAAAATGCGGTTAAGTAAGCGCTACAACATACAAAAAATTAAAAAAAATTAAAAAACAGATATGAAAATAAAATAAATGAAAAAATGTTTTCTTTTGTACTTCTATAGGCTGCAGTGGCTTTCGGTATATGCATTGTTCTATTTTTCAACTCCACATAAATACCCGTTTCGGTTTTTCGGCAATTAACATAGATCGGCGACACCACCATACATTGCATCCATACAGGCAATCTGTGGTCTTCCGGCTGAACGTATTAACATATGTACACCTAATTCTGTTTTTACACGGTAGATTGGTTCCAGAAAAAGTCGTTTAGAAAAACGGTGTAAAAAAAATACATAGATCATATGTTATTTTAAAGCGTGATAAATGGAATAATGTCGTGTAACCAAATATAAATTTTTTCATTTTTAAACCGTGTTAAATCAAAACCGTGTAAAAACCGAATTATGTGTACTTAGAGCAATATCTTATCGATTTTGATCAACACAAAACTCCTTCCCTAAATCTCATTAAAATACACAACAAAGTAGAATAAGAAACAAATTTTTAATGTTAAAAATAAATTTTCTATATCGACTCTCCTTGCCATCCTAATTAAGAATATATATACGTTTGAGGGGTTCTGCCACGCCTCCTGCTGTGTAAATATTTCAGGTACAGGATATAATGTACCAATGAAATGGGATCTACTACGCATTCTTCTGCTTGATACATACATTTCAGATTTCAAAACATAATAAAAAAAATTCTACATACTACATATATTACTATGCATGTATGTATACTTCCAAATTAGTCGTCCATGTATTCAAAACAAAACTGATGGCATAAAATGGACGAGGTTTGATTCGAAAGTGAAAATCCAATAATTATAGGAGTTCTAATCAAATACTTCTAGTGCCAGAGGGGAAATGCACCTTTCAAGTAAGGCTGCAAAAATATCTAAAATTACGGGCATTGTTGTTACGACTACGCTTTTCCTCTTGGGCAACGCCGGCTGGCTCATCGGAATTCTCCTTGGGTGTGTGGTTCCAACCCTATGCCCGCGTGAGTCGTACAATAACCGATAACACGGTTCCTCCATCGATAAACAAAATGCCATCACTACAATAAATTCGACGCGCAATATACAAAACCGAATTCAAAACGTAAACAAACCAAAAAAACTAACATAAACTAAAAGAAACGTAATGCGACAAAAAAAACAAATAAACGGATAACTCCCTCAAGCCATCCGTACGAATACGGGTGACTGTAAAAGGAGATAATATACGTGCGGACGGACAGGGATTGGAGGCATCGGACAACTGTATGGGATTTTGCTGTTGTTATCCCAGGCGTACCCTCCCTGCCTGTATCCAAAGGCAAAATGTTTCTTGGATACCCTTTTTTTTTTGGACCGTGCTTGGGCTATTCCATGGCACAGGTGAGTCTCCCGCCCCTACTGATGCTGCTTTAATGCATCATCACCAACGGTGCGACCATTAAAATTAACAATTAATTTTCAGTTTATGTGGCTACAAACATACATATATTTCAGTGTGATTGAGTGTGAGTGAAAACAATGTAAATATGGAACAATAATAATTTATATAAAAACAAAATAAAGAAGGCTTGCCAACGGCCAATGCGGTTCTTTATGTGCGCCAACATGCAAGTATGTTTATGGCAAATAAATATGTATATAGATATATGTGTATGTGTATGAGAAAAATATGCGCGGTACAAAAATTTATAGAAAAATGTCTAACCAAATCCTAACGA